AGGAAACTCCTCTGGGTTGTTATTATGGGCCAGAAACACCTGCGGAGCGCGGCTGTGACCGCGGCGGAGCGAGAGACTGAACCGCACGGATGCTCAGCACGTGACGGCGCTGACTCGCAGAGCGGAGAGGCAACACTGAGACCCAGACATGAAAATACACTCAGCAGGTCAAGCACCAAGTCTGTGAGGTAGACATGAAATCGCTCCTGAGCCACCGGTGTCTCATTCTGATGGTATTATGCACACAGACGACTTACTGCTAGGCAATAGACTCGTTGGCTCGCCTTTAAGAGGGCAATTTCTGCGCTGCATCTCCTGTTGCTGATCTTTAAGAAGGATTTTTCACCACTTAGCATCAGCTGGGAGTAGATGTGGGATCCTGCAGTCATCTCGTTTCACTGCTCAATTCAGTCCCGTGTTTGCTGCGGGCCAGACTGCACCCCAGGACACTTCCCAAAGCCATACACCACCAGGAATTACACGAGCAGAGCAGCAGGGCTTTTGTCAGGAGAGGAAAAGGGGTGGGGGGCAAAATGACACTTTCCACTCTTTAAAAAACACTTCCCCTATTTACAGCGACGTAACTGCAGCCTGTGGACAGCAAGGAGTGTTTCCAAGGGGCACACCAGGTCACCCAAGCATGCCTGCCTCTCTGCCAGCCTCAAGTGCCCTCACAGTGCCAGGGCAGGGAAACTTGCAAGGACACGAGTAACTAAGCACAGCCACATTAAATTAACCCAGGCTCATTAAATTGACTGATTATACACACAGATTCTGCCTCTGGGCTCAGAGCCTCACCTCTGGGACCAGGCAGGTGGGTGGCCCTTGTCTTCCACCACCAGCGAAGCCCAGAGTATTTTTAAGACACAGCTGAGCACCTGAACTCCTAAAGCACATAGAGGTGTGCAGGCAAAGGTGGACCCCGCTGGCATGAACCAGCTCGAGAGCTGGCAATGGATCCCGGGTTGTTTAAAACTCCTGACAAATAAACACCGTCAAGGCTGAAATAATAGTTTAAAAAAAAGATTTCATTGTTTTTTATAAAGAAAGTCCATATAGATTTCCATTTCCAACAACAGCAGGAAGTCCAGAACTTTCCAATGACACGGCAGCTTTATTTCCATAATTGCCTACAGCAACGATAAGCCACACAACACCCGGTCGATCACGACAGACAGGGGAAGATTTCTATGGTGTTTATCCGAAGGACAGTCTGTGGGTTCACAATGACTGAAAAAGAATGAAAAGAGAGAGAAAAAACAAAAAAAATCAGATGACAGCAGAGAACTGTTGCGTACCTTGCGGGAGGTTCCTGCTGGTTCAGCTCCATCGGCCCGCGGCGTGCCAAGGCGTGCCAGTTCTGGCAGGGGGTGCGCTGGCAGATGCTGCTGCCTTGGCACGCCAGCCGCATACCAGTGCTATGGCACGAGCAGAGCTCTGGGCAGAGCTCCCGCGGGACTGCGTCAGACAGGCCAAGGTTTTAGCACTCGTCCCATTAGGGAACAGTCACAATTTTCCACCCTCGCAGTCGGATCTGAGAAGGGGCAGCCCTTTGGTGACCCAAAAGCCTGCCAAGGACACCTGCTAGTATCTGTGATGACATATCCAATGTTTAAGGCTTTGGAAAGAGAACAAAATATTCCGCCCAGGATATTTTTTTCCAGCAAGGTCTTTTGCAAGGCTATCTAACAAAGGGTGCTGGACCAAGGGAACATTAAGTCACCACACTCTGAGTACAGTGGGACACTTGGGAAAGAGGTGCTGTGCCATGGGGGGTCCTGGGGGTACGGCGAGTGAGGCTCCTTCCCCACGCACTACCCCCATGTTGTGATACACCCCCCCTCCCGGATCCAGCAACAAAAGAGCAGGGAAGGAAGCTCTGCACTATCTTACTTTTCTTCCTTTGATAGTTGTGCCTCTTCCAAAAGCGCATGTTAATTTTTGGCCATGACTCCGTCTTTTCAATCACAGTAGCCTCCACACGGACGAGATCTTTCCTTAAAAATAAATTATAAAAGTATCAATTTTTAATTATTTACATTCTCCTCCTATTGGTGAGCAGGTTTCTGGGGAAAAGTGACACACAGAGAACGCATCCTGCCTTCCAGCTCCACAGAGCTACAAAGTCACTGTGGAAGGAGGGCAATCTGTCAGGCTGTGGGCTTCACAGTGCAAGACCGAAAGCCTCGAGGTGCTGTACGTGGACCAGCCAAGGGATGGGACCATTTGCAGGGCAGTCTGTCAGGTGAGGGATAAGATCAGAAACAGCCAAGGAGGCAGCAGTAAGATGAACCTGCAGGAACTTGTAGGATTACACTAAGATAAATTCTCCTGGCACGTTCACATGCTCTTATGTGCCCTACTTTGCTTACGGTACAGGCTAAACCCACCCGTGGCCCCTTCTCCTGTGCTATGCTGGTCAACACAGAAGTTCTTCCTCCTTCTATAAAGCATCACAGACAGCTGGAAGAAAGTCTTCTCACCTTGCCCACCTAAGTCCTGGCAAAGGCTCAGTGAAAAGGGATTTGGCCCACTGTTTCTGGCGGGAAGCACAGCTAATTGGCTGCTGGAGCAAGTCACTTCTCCCCCACGCCTCCCTTCTGCCTCCCACTCCTGGTCTGTCCTGCTTGTTTACTCCAAATTGGAAGAAAAGACGGGGACTCACTGAGGATTTCATGTACTGCTCCCTACTCCGCAGCTGGGGGAATTCAGGTTGAGTGGTGAGACCACTCAAAGACTCAAATTATTTCTAGATCTCATTTCTACACATGAAAATTCTCAGCAAGTAAACATCCTCCCTCCCCGAGGACGGAGATGAAGAGAAGAACATGGCCCGTGTTTCTGTCACAGGTGGGCAAAATCACAGAGTAATTCGTCCCTCCTCATTACCTTACCGACACACACAAACACCTCCAGCCCACCCAGGCATTCTGCAGAGCTCCAAGAGAAGACAACTCACTGAAGTGAGACAAAGAGCGCTGGGATTGCTCGCTGCTATCTGAAAAACACCGGAGCTGGAGAACAAGGCGGTCTGAAGCACGCGCTGGAAGACCAGCTACCTGTCTGCACGACAGCTCCTCCCTGGGAAGATGAGTGCCTCCAGACGAGCCAGACTAAAGCTTTGGAAAGTGTGGTTTTCATCAACATCCACAATGAAGAAGGAAGAGACACTCTTTCATGCACCATCACACCATTAAAAACTCATTAGCATGCTCGCTTCGCTGCCAGAAGACATTTAAAGAACATTTTCCTGACAAACGACTCTGCACTTAATGGGGGCAGAGAGGGGAAGCCCATCTAACCCAACTGTTCCAGCAAGGTCACTGGGAGGCCAAAGGCTTTGAGACGTTTACCATCTCTCTTAACATTTACCCTCTGGGGTGTAATATATATCGGAGATTGAATCCTTGAGGGAGAAGGGAAGGGCAGCCAGAGGAGAAAACCAATATATCTGCATTTAGCAATCAGCCCAGAAGAAAGCAGACGTAAGATAATCTAGATTTTAAGAGACCACTGGGTGACCCTGACATCCCAGCTGAAGGATGGTACCCGGATCCAGCCCAGCGACACGACCCAGCAGCATCACTGGAACACCCAGCTCTGCACTGCTAGGGAAGAGACCAAAAACCACGGTGCTCCAGGGACCAGCCGTGTTTTACCACTGCAATTCGGGAGCTGCACTTTCTGGGTTTAATTCCTGCCCGGCAAAGGGAAAGCTGAACTCCCACTGACTTCTCCCAGGCTTGGACTGCACAGGCATGTAAGAAACTCACTCATGACCATCACATGGGAAAACTGGAAAGCGGCCAGGCCAGATCAAGCGGCCTGGTCGCTGACATCTCTGTGCTGCTCTCAGGAGAGCCAGGGTTTGCAGCAGCACGGCCACGCTGTCCCCGATACAGCCCTCGCCACGGGACCACACTGGCTGTCCTGGGCTTTGGGCAGCATCCAGCCAAAGGGAGAAACACGGACACGGATCAAGCGTAGGTAAGTGTCCCCCTCGACATTGCTCATAAGTGTTGACGTGCTTTCAAGCAAATCTTTAAGGGTATTGTCGAGACAGCTGAGCATCCAAGCGTGGCTTCTCTCTGCAAGTCAAAGTTCAAGGCCAATGGGCCCCGATGAGTCCTCCTCCCTTGGACAAAGCACTGGGACCTGCTGGATGAAAGGCTGAAGCACAGCAGAAACCAACTTGCTGGTCAAGTGCATACGAACAGAAAAGTTCTCAGCAAAGTAGAGCCCAAGAAGAAAAAAACAAAAAAAAACCTTTTATTGAATGTTTTAGGTATGACTGGAATGTCCATAAAAATAAAAAGGGGGTCACACATTTCCCAGAGCCTGACATAGACAGTCAGGCTTTCAGCAGCGAAATAACTTCATGACAAAGCACATCTAGCAGATTTTTGCAGGAGGCAAGAAAAATTCCCGCTGAAATCTCATCGATCTAAGTTGGGCTGAAAGCTATTGCCATTAAGCAGGGAAGAAGATCCAGGCAACCTGCAACCCCAAAGGATCGTAACTCTTAGAGGTAATAATTTTGGTTGACAAGCTCGCTCGCTCCCTGCAGAAGGTGGCTGAATGCCAGCCTAGTTGTCCAGGAAAAGAACAAGTCCAGGGCCCTTTGTCATTTCACTGAAGCCACGGCAAGAAGGGGCAGGTGGCAGGAGAAAGAGTAAGGCTCACCTAGAGGAAAAAAATTCCCATCAGCTGCACTTTGTCTGGAAACAAGCTGAACGTTCTCCTAGAGGCACCGTTCATTTCACCCAGGTCTAAACCAGCTGAGGGCACTCAGCTGGCGGCCTGAAACGCAAAGCTGCCCAAGGTTACTCACTTCCAACCACAGCTTTAAGAGTGCCCAACGATTTCTGCACCACACAGCCAAACTCCGTACTGCCTGACGCCCTCGTGCCCATCGACCAGGCAGCAGGGGACTTGAACACCACACAACCCAATGGATTTCGGAGCAGGAGCCAGCTACGAGTTCCCAGAATAGCCTCTGCCACGCAGATATGTTTGGTTTCACTGTTGTTTTTTAAGGCTTTAGAGGAGTATCATCTTGGGAGGTATCTCACTGCTACAGAACATCAGAACATGACCATCTGTCCAAAACAGGACAAGTTCCTACCCGCCTCCCAGTCTGAACAGGGAGTGCAGCTGTAATGAAGTTACGCAGACGTTGGTGCAAGCACTCACTGGTGTGTTTATTTTTAAAACAACAGAAAAACAACACTGCCTTTGTTCGCATCCAGCCTCTTATCTCCCCTCCAAAATGCTTGTGGTTTAAGCACGACTGGGAACTATGGGAAAGAACTGCAGTCCACGTTGCTCACGACACACTGGGTTCTGCTGCCCTTTCCTCAGCCCATATCGGAGAGCTGGCGGCTCGGGAGGTTCCCTACAGCTCGGAGGGAGGATGGCACCTCCCCACCAGCCTTTCACTCTGCCTGGTCGGCCGCCTCCTCCTCCTCCTCCCACTGATGTTCCTCTGCCAAAGTTACTGGAGTTCAAGCTAACGCTGGCAGATGTGCAGTTTGGTCTGCTTCAAGCAACTGACAACACTTTCCACACACTTGGAGCACCTGCAGCAACCAGACAGCTGGTTTTCTTCCTTTGCAGAGCTCCTGGGTCTCAGGCCACACGCCAAAAGTCCAGCACACAAACTGAGAGCTGCCAAGAACCACCCCAGGGCCACTAGTTGAGAGAGGCAGGTGAAGGATGGTGCTCTTAAACTGCCTGACGTGGCATATCCCTGCTGCAGAACTTGGGCTCTTACTTGAATTTCTGCAAGACGACATTTCTAGTCCTGATAACGAGATTCCCCTTCCTAAAAATCTTCCACAAGTGCAACATCTGGCAATAATTCAAAGACTCCTGTCGATCTGCTGTTCCAGATCTATTTGCAGTACCGTTCAAAGGACTGACAGCCCTCAAAATCCTCTCTAACACAGGGAGCCCCAGGCTGTTACCACCAGTGCAACTGCAGTCACGTTATCAACTGCACAAACACGTTACCAGTAACTCTTAAATACCAACAGCCCCCTGGTACCACAGAAAGTGCTCAGAAGCGAAACCAGTCTGAAACCATGTGGTATTTCTAACCCGAATCTACAAGCCACCAAGAAATAATTCTCGGATGTGCAAGTTCCTCCTTATCTGACCATCCTCTGCCAACGCTGCTGCAGTCTCCACGCTAAGACCTAAACGTGTGGTTTAGCCTGTAACCAGACCACAGCCAGGGCTTCCAGATACTTTGAGCACCTGCAACCCACCTTATCCAGACTTGTGTTTTACCACAAAAACCTCTTGTCCTGGGGAAAACAACCCTTCATGACTTTGCTTTTGGATGGAGCTAAGAGCTAAGCAGGAACACTTGGTCCACACACCGCTTCCTTTTGGTGAAGAAAAGGCTGAAGAACCAGGTGTTCTGCCCTTTTGTGTAGCAAGTCCTACCGCACTGGGATGGAGATGGTGGAAGGGGGTAAACTCCTTCTCCCCAGTTCTGTGATTGCTGGACCATGGAACTAGGACAAAGGGAAAATTAGGAACTCTAAAATTAAGGCCTGCTGGGTTAAGACAAGGGCAAAAGGAAACAGGTTAAAAAGGCCAAGTCAAATTAAGGGATACAAAAGGATTTCTGGGTTCTTCCAAGATGGCTATCACCAAAATTAGGGTAAGGGAGTAAAAGATGTTGAAGAGCAAGATTTACTGCTAGTTTGTGCAAGGCTTACACCACCAGAAAAAGATGCAACCCAACAGAGGTGACTACCCTACAGTTACCTTAGGAACAGGTACTGCTGCTCTGCCCTGGCACTGTGGCAATGGTCACAGAGGGTGATGAGCTTGTTTTACTGGTGATTCTTTCCAAAGGCACGGGGCTGGGAAAAAGGCTACTACTGACAAATCCAAGTTTCTCTTCAGTTTCAGGGACAGTAGGAGCCCTGAAGCTACAATTAAGTACAAGCACTGTCGTGAAGATAATTCTTGTATGAGACATCTTACCCCAGGAGTGGCCTTCCAATGAGCGTGAAGTCATCAGCACCAACCAGCAAAACCTACGGAAAACAGATCAGGCACATATCACCGGTTCATTGTCCCAGTGGAAATGCAAACAGCATCTTCCAAATTCTACAGTCCCCATAAAGGAGTCAAACTGCTTAAAAATAGGCCTTTAACACATTTCAAACCCGACACTGTTACTTAGAGAGGGATGGTGGGGAAAGGCAGCTAACAGGCAAGAGACAAATTCATTAAACAGTCTTCCAGGAGAGCTTATCCTACTAAAACAGACTTTAGAAGTATCTTTCACATTGATCAGAACACACTGAACCTTTCTGTTCTGGCTCACCAACAGTTGTAAAAGATATGAATAGCAATACAGGGAAGAAGAATAATACGCCTTGTGTGGGATCTGAATGAATGGCAGCTCCTAAAATAATTGGATTTTTATAGCGATCGCTACGTACACCAGTAGAGAAGCTCTTCCCTCATTCTCCTCCACGAGGCCCCAAGATGGGCAATAAAGAAATGAACATCTCAGGGGGGTTCACCACCCCAGGGACCAGCCCCTTTGTCTCAGGGCACTTCAGCCACCTGCCTACCCTAAAGGCCCAGGTATCGGGAGAAGAGGAAGTGTTTCCTACAGAACTGCCTCCTTCCCCACACTCAGCAGCTAAAAGCAACATACGAACAGTCACGAGATGGTCTGACTTTTGTTTTGGGCAGATACTTGCCAGTAAAATCCCAAAAGGGTTATGGTGGTTAGGCAAGTTCTTCACCTTCTTCACTCCCATCTGGACCTTTGCATTCCTAGCTGGCTGCTCCACGCAAACCACTCCTCTCCCCGCTGCGTACGAGGATGCAGGACGCAGCCTGCAGAGCTGCCTCAGAACTGGACTTCAAAGCAATGGGTGAGCAGAAAAACTGCCTGGCTCTCCTTAACTGGAGAGCCTGGTCGTTGCTTGGCTCTAACAACCAACATCAAGCTTAAGCAACAGAATCCCACTTGATAATCGTTAAGATTCAGCTTAACGAGCCTCTACAAGTTGCTGCCAGTTAACCGAGGCTATAGATAGAGGTATTGAACTTGGCAGTTCTCCCCTACAAGCACCATCCCTCTCCCTCCACCCAACACACTCAGCGTGATAAGGATCTGGCAAAGCGTTGAGCAGTGACAGTCCCTCTGGGAGTGCTGCAAGTATTTTGGGTGGTGGAGTCTCCAGGTAAACACAGTCTTCAGCTGCCGTCCCTAGAAACAACAACTACTGTAATTGAATTTTTGATGAAGTTAGTACAACAAAAATCTGTCTCTAACAGAGTCTGGCATGACTCATTCCAACCCTGTTGAACAGAAATCAAAACAATATCCCGAGCAGCGTAACTGAAATTGGAACAGAACTAAGGCAAAGCAAACAGCTGAAGTAAGAACGGGAGATCCGACAGGAGCTCTTCAGGACTTGTTTTTAAAAACCGGTTATGGGTTTTGCCTCAAGGAACGTTGGCAGGGAATTTGCTCCGGCCTCATACACCGCATGGCATCGCAGGAACTGCGGAAGCACAGCACCTCACCTTTTCCATCCGGATTCGGTCTCCACACTCAGCCTCCAGCACGTTGTCCATCATAATCAAGTCTTCACTGGTTATTTTCCACTGCTTGCTGGCAAAGTGGACCACGGCGAAGAGGCGCCCGTACTGCCCCGCTGCAATCATCTCGTTCACCTTCCGCACCACTTCTGCTGGCAAAGAGCAGGGAAGGAATCAGCATGGAAAACCCAGCGAGGTGCGGAGAGCTGTTCAAAACTAATCCAGCCGCGCTGTTCTCCCACCAAAACTCTTATCTTCTGGGAATCTCTAAGCAAGGATCAACAGCAATGTTGGTTCCTACAGGGTGTGCACCTCCCTTTCGGAAATTTCATGGCCTGCTCGTACTCTAGTTGCTGGCAAACCCATTCCTTAGGCATCCCAAAATGCACTGTATCCAGGCATAAAGCATTCCATAAAAGAGCGCTTGTCCATGCATCTTACATTTGGAGAGGAGCCCCCCCTCATACCCCAGGCAACACGCAGAAGGCCCAGGACTCTGAATACTGCGCCAGGCACGCAGGAACATCCGGAAGAGTCCGGCAAAGTACACAGGAAAAAGTGCTCCAGCAGACTAACAAAGCGTGGTCAGAAAACTTGTACCTGCAGCAAAGACAAGAGAGACCTTTCCCTCACCCTTTTCCAGAAAAATCTCTTCCCACATGCACATACACGCAGAGCAGGTGCCAGGAGCAGAACGAATCCCAGGGACGAGGTCCTGCATATGAACAAGCCCAGCTTCCTGCCATCAGCTTCCTGAGCAGCCAAGCCAAAACCGATTTTCATGGGAACATCAAAAGGTATTGCTTAATGAGAGCCATTCCACAGCCAAATAGTAGCTTTCCACCCTCTTGAGCTGTTCACAAAAAGAGTAACTTTTCTATAACTGGAAAAACAGATTTTCTGCATTGTCCTCAAAAGTGGCTGAATCATTTTTTTTCTCGGAACGTAAACAAAACAACATCCATTTGGGACAGACAAGAATTTAGCAGCCTGTCAAACCAAACCTGAATGCTTGGAAAGTGTCCAAGCTTCAACCCAGCAGATGCAAACCATTAAAGGTGGAGGCAAGAACAGAAATCATGTGCAAGGCAGTAGTTGCTGCAGCTCCCACTACGATGAAGAGCTTAGCTTCTGTGTTGCTGGAATTGCTGTCCCAGAAGAAAAATCCACCGTGTGCTCTTTTCCCTGGCTGACAGCAGTCCACTACGAAAACTCCAGAGAAAAAATACCACCCCCTCCTTTGTTACACCCTCAACTGCACAACAAATTTCTTCCAGCTCCAAACTGCCTGTCTAGGCACAGCAGTACCCCTGTGGTGAACGTTTCAAAATTGGACATTTCCAAATGCTGGCTACAGCTTTCTCCTAGCAAACCCCACACAGATTCAAGCTCTAACAAGGGTTATTTCCTTGTCAAATGTCAACTTTCCACCCACGGGGCTTTCTCATCTTTTTGGGACCAAACCGGTACATTTTCTTCCCTGTACTTGGGCTCTGAAGTTGTTGTTAACTCTTCCAAACACCTCTAGTGGCAGGAAACATCAAGTGATGTTACCACCTGATCGCTAGTATGGCTCGTGTCCCAGCACCACGCAGAGCAACCCTTCCTAAAACTTCCATGGCTGTCTCCACAGCCAGCAGGAAAACAGAAACGGAATTCGAACGCTCTCACTGCTGTTTGCTTTGGATAAGCACAGCCAGGAGATAACGACGCCAGCTCATAAACAGTAGGAGGTTACGAGTCACGGAAATCACAGCAGCCCTGAGGATCCCATGTAAATCCATCAGGGGAACGTGGGACCCGGCTCACCGCGGGGCTCCGGCAAATCAAACCCAGCACTTTGTGGTTCACTGCTGGGTCAAACCATGCTCAGGGACAGAACGCTCATCCCTCACTCGGGCAATCCAGGAGAAAAAAACGAGATAAAAAGCAGGATGGAAAACAGTCAGAGAGGAGACCTGGAGCAGGAGGCCCTCTCCAAAGCACATCACTCACAGTTATTAACACACTGCAGCCAGACGATAGGAGACCTTTTGCAAAAAGGTGGGCACAGTTCCTCTCTCCTTGTAAAAGAATTCCTCTCCTTCGCTTCCCGGATCTCTTCCATCTAAAGTAGAGAAGTCAGGTGCCTTTTGCAGATGTCCCAAGGCAGTAGGGCTGCCTGTTAAACAGGAGCTCACTGCCTGCAGGAAGCACACAACTGCTAATTGCCACAGCAGCTGTAAAAGAAATTCACCCGCTGGGGCTTATTACTGCCTAGTTCTGAGAAACATCCCGTACACGTGTTGGCTTCCCCACTGCCATCCCTAGCATGGTCTGGATGACAACAGCCCCACCTGGGCAACAGGAGGCCAGACACATGGGCCTCCTCTGTGCTTGATTTTTGCACCCCCCACCTGCCAGGGGAACCTGTGCCTCCTTACAAGTGGCACACTGACGTGTTCTAGCAAAGGTAAGTGATGAGGACGGTCGCTGAACAGTGACCTCATTGACTCGTGAGGCTGACCACCGTATGGTCCACCTGCTCCTTTCAGGAGGACCACTGGCTGCATTGAAAGGTCCTGATTAGATGTGGGGACAAGCACACGTTCACCCATGTTATGTCACTGCCCAGCTGCTCCTTGCCTTATGTCACATCTCTGCAGCTCTGTCATGTGCCCACCACCCAACTGCTTATGCTGGCTCTAGCATTCTGTTTCATGCACTAAAATACACCAGCCCTCTGATGTGCCCACCATCCAACTGCTTATGCTGGCTTCGCTTTTTGATTTACCCATTAAAAGAAAAATAATCGTTCTCTCCTGTCCAAAAGGCCTGTCTCGTGCTTTAGAAAGCAACACACCACATCAGGTAAGATGCCTCTGGAAGTGTTACAAGCTGTCATGTTGTCATAAGCTAAGGAGACCTCATATTCTACCCCAATTTCCAGTACCAGCAGCTGGAGCACAAGTCCAGTGACACCAACACACACAAGAAATGAGACAGAAACATGAACAACAAAAAACTAGCTCCAGTCATTGAAGACACTTATTGATGCTCAGCCAGGCCACCACTGGCAATACTCTAGTGCTGGTCTTCACCTGGAGCCTTGAGACCTTTACCTGCATGATACTTTGCTTCTTCCACTGGATCTGGAAGTTTCACTTCAGGCCATGGGGGTGAAGTTAGAGATGTTTTGGCAACAAGCCTGTGAACGATAAGGCAAGATTCACTTGTAGCAAACAGATGTCATCAAGAGGAAAAAAGGTCAAAGAAGCTGGAGATGGAGTAGAAAGTGGTTTTCCACTGGGGGAGCAGAAGTTGTACAGGAGACTTAATGATTTGTCAGTACGAAAGTCTCAACCCAAAGCCCACCTGGGCCAGAGGGCAATTTCCCACAGATCACATTTCACATTGCAGCAGCTCATGAGCAAGGAGAGGTTTTCTGCTCCAGCGTTCAGTGTCACGGACAGACGGAGGCAGGCAAGGACAGAGGGAGGCAGGCAAGGACAGAGGGAGGCAGGCAAGGCAAAAGCCAGGTTACCTCCCCAGGACTTAGTACGAGGGAGGACACTTGGTATGGCAAAGTCCCCAGATCTTCCTCCCACCACCTGGCAAAAGCACTCCAGCAGGAGAAGAGATGCGGCAGAAGGGCTGAAGCTGCAGCCTGTATCAGAAGGCTGTCCAAAAACACAGAGAAAACGCTTGGTCTCATTTCTGAGTTCCACCTGCAGATGCTCTACCAAGTGTCATCCCTGCTCCCAGGGCTTAATGTCATTTAGGTCTGCCACGAATTGCAGCAAGCTTTAAGAAAAAGGGATAAATGCCTCAGTGGTTGGTTTGCTTTGCTCTCATCCTATTATAAAATTCAGTGTGGGGAAACGGATTTTTTTTTTTTTTTTACTTCCAACTTCAGACTGTTATTTAAAACAGTTTGAAACAAAGGAGGAGCGCAGAAGAAACAGATTGAAAGTTAACTGAAAATCCACCCAGGCTAGGTTATCGCTCGTTCCTGATGCTGAGATCTGCAGCTGGATGCGCTAGTGGTGATCAAGCTCGGCGACCACCGGTGACTTCCCACCTCCTTATTGTTACAGACCGGAATTTTGTCACCAACTCCAATGGAAACAACCTTAAGCCTTGCTTACACCTGAGGTTTAGATAAGAGGCTTTTGTTACGCTTTTCCAGATATAGATACAAGTGATCTCTGCCACATCTGAGAGGCTGAACACGTTAAGGCTCCTCAACCCACTTCAGCACCAAGTTCAAAGCCCTAAAGTCACCCGCCAGCAGGGAGCACCCGGGAGGAGGCAACGTGCCTTTGATGGGCAAGAAGGGCTAATGAGCGTTCTTAAACCAGCCTTTCGTGCTGCACATGAAGGACTCACACGCATCCTCTTTTCCCTTCGCTTTTTGAAGCTCTTCTCTGTTAAACAGATAGTTTAGAGAGGGCCTTAAGACCACGGCTGGGTTCTTTACAGGAGAGTTATGAGGCTGCTCTTCTTTTGTCACTGACAGCTACATTCCCTGAATGGCAACAATAACGGCTTCTCCCACCCTCAGTGCAATTCAGCATCTGACACCACAAACATTTAGTCCAAAAGCCTCCTCTGTGCCGTTACCGTGACTGCCTACAATCCACAATATCACACGGGGGAGGAATGAGCAGTGGCATCTAACAAGACTTCTGAGACCCCATCTTGGTGCAGGCTGACCACAGCAGGGAGCGGGCACTGCCCCGCAGCCATCCAGCCACACACACACAATTCCTCACGATGAGTTTGAGCACCAAGATGTTTTGCTGAAAGGTGCAAACGAAATCCTTATTCTTCTTGAAGGGGTAGCTTCCACCGTTGTGACAGACAGTCATTTTGATAACATCTTGTTTCAAACCCTCTGCGACTCTACGGCTGAGACACGAGCGTCCCCAGTTGAAGATGTTGCATCAGTCCCTGAAGACCTTCCTGGTGACCAGCCCAGGGAGGTCCTAAGCTCCACAGACACATCCCTGTAGGATCGCTCAGCACTGGCACAACCACAGCAGCATCCACAGCTCAGACTGCACCACCACCCAAAGGACATCTTAGCTAACATCTGCTCTGTCTATACTTAGATGTTGCTCTCTTACCTACCGAAAACAGCATATAGCTGTCACAGCACATGACACCTTCAGTTTGGTGACTAAACCGAGGGCCTGAGGGCAAGCAGGCTACAGGACGGATACAGAACAAAAGACCGAAAACCGCAAGGGGCGTTTCAGCTAGCAGCCAGCAACGTGTTCTCATCAGCTGTCGTGGGGGATTCTTTCTGCTCTTCAAGACTATCACTGGGAGGGATGCTCCGCCTCGAAACCGAACTAATTCCTGACGGCCTCGAGCCCTGGACCGTCAGTGCCGCAGGGATTCGCGTGCACACGCTGCCTTTCTCGAGAGTGGTGCAGACAGCGCTGAATCACGAGAACCCCGGTTAAAACACCGGAGCTGAACAACAATGAACTCTGCCCACGTGTGCCACAGGGTGTTAACTCAAACACGAAACTCTGCGCCAGGCTCGCAGTGGGAGTTGGAGTGGAAAAAATGCAAATGGCACTTGCTTATAATTAGCTGGTTTTCCAAGACCTTCAGGACGAGGAGGAAAAAGAAGGAGGACCAGAGGCAGCTGCTGACAACTCTGCAAAGGAGACAGTTACAAAAACTACCGATTTGTTCCCAAAGGACTGGAGAGAAAAGCACCACTCTGACCAGGGACAGTGCTTTCATGAGAACTGCGGGATGTACTTCAAGGGGCAGGGAAAGGAGGCACGAGGCCGATCCTGCAGCATCCAGGGATTATCTCAAGAGCTGCCAAATGCCTTTGATCAGAAAGAGACGCATGACCAACAGGCAGCAGACTGTAGTTCCTTATTCAGCAGGAATCTACGATACCACAAACCCAATACTAGATCTAAAGAGGAAGGAGATCCACCCTGCGTCTCAACGAGATGACCAAAAAGGCATCGTTTTCTGAAATTGGAAGAAAAAAGTGCTGCTCGGTAAATACCATCTCCACCAAGAACGGGAGGTTCAGAATTTCCTGCGCTCTGAGATCCACACCTTCTAAAACCAACAGAGGATGCGCAAGCTGCACGGAATATTCAGGAAAAAACGTTAGAAGCTAGTGAAAGAAGGCAAAATTAACAGCAGCAGTTGCATTTGATGGGCTCACTCTCATGCCCAGCAACGCCCCTCAAAGGGCTCTCATTTCGTAGAAACTCAAAGCGCTTGGGAGCAAGTACAGAACCACAAGCACGGAGGCTTCGTGGGCTTGTTGTGAGGTTCAGCAACAGTGTTGGGCGCTGTGTCACACCGGCAGAGACCCAAACCGTGCTCCCACCTGCCTGAGGACCAGCGGGAAGAGGCCACCCCCTGCACCCTTCAGCAGCACGGAGGGAAGGAGCAAATCTTGCTGTTTCTCAGAGGAGCTCTCTGCTTCTGCAGTGTCCTCTCCTGGTCAAGGCAGGCAGCAGCACAGCCCGCAGCTCTGCCCGGGTTCCTTCACGTGAGATCCCGCAGAGGGAACTACATACAGACACAAAGGAGCAGCTCAAAGTGCTGGAATGAATGGAGCCTGAAGTTTCCCAGCTTGGCATCCCGCAGTGCTTGGGCTGTTAATCCCACCTTACGAAGACTGCAGTGCAAGTCCAGTATTGACCAGATATTGAAGACTTCAGGCAGGAGACGGGTCTGGCTGAGGAGCAGACTACCTGTACCTAACAAAACGAGTGGCAGCTGAAGCCCCTTCTGCATTTGAGGCATTTTGATGTCCTGACTCAAGTGGCTCCTCTGCTGCCAGGCACACTGAGAGCCTTTTATCACTGGAGGATCTAGTTATCTGTCTCCAGCCTCACCTGCTTCACTCCACAGCTCAACAGAAGCATCCTTCTGGCAAAGGTGACTGCAGGTACGCAGAGAGTCCAAACCTTACTGGGAAGCAACGGACTGACAAAGGGGTCAGACAAGCCTCCTTCCCAAAGGAAAAATAAGCTGCCCTCCCCACCCCCACCACGGAAGGTCAGCGTTTCAAGGGGCAAAAAGCAAAGCAGAAACTCATTTGCCATTACCCTTGCTGCAGTGAGGTGCTCTGGGAACTCCGGTGCCGAACCACAGACGAAAGCAAGGCTAAAAGGGAGAGAGGGAAAAAGAATTAAAAATAAGCAGCAACTGCTGGGCTTTTAATCTCTGGTGAGGCAGTACTGGAGCAATGCTGAGGTGTCACAGTGCTGGTCAGCTTTCTGGTACCATCTTTCTGCCTGTAAAAGCTTCGGTCAGTTTTATCACGACGGGCAACAACAGAGGTGGCGGCAAAACAAGACATAGTAAGAGAAAGGACCCATCAGTTCTGCGTGGCACTGCCAGGGGGCAGGAAAAGGGCCTCCCTCCCTACCGCAAACACGCTTGTTCCAAGTGACAATTCCAGCCAGACACGACGATTTGACACGGTGACGCTCTGAGCATCCCACCACCTCTTTTGGAAAACGACGTGAGCGAAAGGCAAAGGGGAGGAACGGGTCAAAAAAAGGGAACAAAACCGTGGTGTGCTCCAACTCCGAGCACTAACCGATCCTTCCCGGCCCCCTGGGCCCTCCAAAAAGGGAGGGAAACCATTACACGTTTGCCAGGGGATTCTCAGCCGCTTCCAGGGAGCTTTAACAAGCTTCCTCTCGGAAAAGAGAGCAGGAAGACAAGGTGTGCTTCCAGCAACTCGCTGGCCCAGGCGGACACCAGGATGCCAAGGGAATTGCAGCGAACTGGGAAGGGCAGGGAAGGGGCAGCAGATTTGGGTTTAACACCCCCGCGCCTTTTCGCTCCCGGCAAGAGGAGCGGAGCCGCGGGACACGGGAATTTAAAACGTTTACCCCTGCTTTTCCGGGCAGCACACGCAGGGGCTGACGTTCACCATTCCAAATAAAAACCCTCAGGGAATGAGCGGTTTGCTACAACTTAAGTGACGCTTTGGGCCTAACTTCGGCGTTTTTCGGAAAGGAGCTGGACGCTTCATTAGCAAAAAACGGACGAAAGCCGAAAAACGTCCGCTCGGGGGTTCGTCTTTCCGTTCCCTCAGGATAACGGCGAGTTTTCTGGAACGATGTTTTTGACTAAAAGACGGAGCG